AATAATGCTGCAATAAACAGAGGGCTGCAGCTATCTCTCCAAGGTAAGGATGTCATGTCTTTAAGATATATACCCAGAAATGGGATTATTGGCTCCTATGGAGGTTCTATTTTTGGTGTGTTGAGGAGCCACCATACTGTTTTACATAGTGGGTGTCCCAATTTACAGTCCTACAGCAGTACAAGGAATTCCTTTCCTGTACATCCTTGCCAACGATATCTCTTGTCTTTTTGACAATAGCCATTTTAATAGGTCAAAGTGATATCTATATACTGCAGTTTTGATTTGCATTGCCCTGATGAATAGTGATATCGAGCACCTTCTTGTGTACCCTTGGCCATCTGAATATGTTCTGAGGAGAGACGTCTATTAAGGTGCCTTGCCCAGTTTTTAATTATATTTGTTTTTAGCTGCTGAGTTGTACGAATTCCTTACACATTTTAGATATTGACGTTTTTCATATTTGTAGCTTGCGAATGTTTTCATCCTTTCCATAGGTTGCCTTTCCGTCGTGTTGCTTGTTTCTTTTGCTGTGCGGAAACATTGTTGATTGCATTGGTTGTTTTTGCTTTTGTTGCTTGTACTTTGTATGTCCTATCCTAAATCATTCGTAAGATCTATGCCAAGGAGCTTTTATCCTGTGTTTTCTTCTAGGAGTTTTATGATTTAAGATTTTATATGGAAGTCGTTATTTGAGTTTGGGTTAACTTTTGTGAGGGGTGTAAGGTAGAGGCACAGTTTTATTCTGTTGCATGTTAATATCCACTTTTCTCAGCATCATGTATTGAAGAGATTACCTTTTCTCTTTTGAGTATTCTCGGGTCTCTTAAAGAGACTTTAGGCATGGGTTTTTAGTTGGCTTTATGCATGGGTTTATTTCTGGGTTCTTGATTCTGTTTCCTTCATCTTTGTGTTTGTTTTTGTGCAACTTCATACGGTTTTTATTACCATAACTTTGTAATAGTTTGACACCAGCAAGTGTGATGCTTTCAGCTTTGTTCTTCTTTCTTAGGATTGCTTTGGCTATTTGGGGTCTTCTTGGTTCCTTACACATTTGAGGAATGCTTTTCCTATTTCTGTGAAAAAGGTCATTGGAATTTTGACAAGGATTGCATTGACTCTGTAGGTGGTTTCAGGTAATGTGGATATTTAATGGTACTAATTTTTGTAATCCATAAACAACGGGGTATCTTCCCATTTGTTTGTGTCTCTGCTGTTTCTTTTACAATGTCTTGTAGTCTTTACTGTACCTATCTTTCAGAAAGTCCTTGATTAAATTTATTCCAAAGTATTTTGTTCTTTTTGATGTTTTGGGGAAGGGGATTTTTTCCTTATATTTCTTTTTCAGCTATTTCATTGTTGTGTAGAAATGCAACTGATTTCTTGATGTTGATGTTGTAATTTTGTTTTACTAAGTATAATCTATTGTCAAATTGGTTTCCATACAACACCCACTGCTCATCCCAACAGGTGCCCTTCTCAATGCCCATCACCCACTTTCCCCTCTCCCCCATCTCCTATCAACCCTTAGTTGATTCTCAGTGTTTACGAGTCTCATATTGTTTGCCTCCCTCCCTCTCTGTAACTTTTTCCCCCCCCCCCCCCCCCCCCATGGTCTCCTGTTAAGTTTCTCAGGATCCACATATAAGTGAAAACATATGGTATCTGTCTTTCTCTGCCTGACTTATTTCACTTCGTATACTACCCTCCAGTTCCATCCACGTTGTTGCAAACGGTCAGATTTCACTCTTTCTCATTGCCAAGTAGTATTCCACTGTATATATAAACCACATCTTCTTTCTCCATTCGTCAGGTGATGGACATTTAGGCTCTTTCCATAATTTGGCGATTGTTGAAAGTGCTGCTGTAAAATTGGGGTACATGTGCCCCTATGCATCAGCACTCCTTATCCCTTGGGTAAATTCCCAGCAGTGCTATTGCTGGGTCATAGGGTAGTTCTATTTTTAATTATTTGAGGGACCTCCACATTGT